TGTCCGTCATTCACTACGTGTTCAGCATGTCCGTCATTCACGACGTGTTCACCATGTCCGTCATGCACGCTCATCATGCTCCACGTGTCTGTCATGTCCATCACGCACCACGTCGAGCTCCACGTGTCTGTCATGTCCATCACGCACCACGTGTCCGTCATGCCCATCACGCACCACGTGTCTGTCATGTCCATCACGCACCACGTGTCTGTCATGTAGATCACGCACCACGTGTCTGCCATGTCCATCACGCTTCACGTGTCTGGCATGTCCATCACGCCCACGTGTCTGTCATGTCCATCACGCACCACGTGTCTGTCATGTCCATCACGCACCATCCATCACGCACCACGTGTCTGCCATGTCCATCAGGCACCACGTGTCTGTCATGTCCATCACGCACCACGTGTCTGTCATGTCCATCACGCACCACGTGTCCGTTATGTCCATCACGCACCACGTGTCTGTCATGTCCATCCCGCACCACGTGTCTGTCATGTCCATCACGCACCACCTGTCTGCCATGTCCATCACCCACCACGTGTCTGCCATGCCCACCACGCTCCACGTGCCTATAGTTCAAAAAGATGATGTTGAACATGAACTGCTGCTTGGTGATTGTATGAAGTAAGAGAACCATGACGGTTGCGGTGCGTCCTGGCTGACGTGGGTTGCCCTGTGAGCTAGTACAATGCCCCGCCGTTATGTAGCGACTGCATGCATATATACCCCCATAGAGAACATCATTCAGATAATGTTCAAAACAGCCGGCGTGACTCATATAAAGTATACATGCTTTAACATTGTCAAATGTCAAGATGACATCACGGTTATTTTCAATCAAATGAAATTTTCATTTCATTAATATTGCCATCAAAATCGTCATCATCATCATTCCGCCTTTACAGCCACATTCTAACAGATACCGTTACTATCATTGAATATGGGCCGACAGTTTGATATTCTGGCAATGAGATCTTTCACTGACCATGCGAGATGTTCTGAAGCAGTGGGCGAAACAACTGCCATCTTTCAGAGCAAATATTGTGCGTATTGACTGAACAAATATTCTGTCTCAAAAAGAAATTCCCCCTCTCCATTATCTCAGTCGAATATTAAGCAGTCGACCCGAGCATGTATGTCAGAGAGCGGTAGTCTACTGGCTCTTCATGAGCTTATTGCTGTTATTCATCTGTGTTAATACAGTACGACATCCAAACCTCGCCATTGTACACCCACACCGCAGCATCGTATATACATAAAACAGTTGTAAGAAAACAATATCAACATCCGGTACACACACATTACCACACATAATCAAGCTAAGAGCGTATTGCTAAAGACTGTGAGCTGGGACACATAAGGCGAGATGCGGTTGCTAATGGTTGAAGGGAAGTCACTCAAACCACCATATGTTCTTTCTAGCACATATCATTCATCAGTCACTGAAATCACAAATATACAGTCATCACTGTATGTCCAGAAGCATCTACTGTCTGCCTGCATCATCACTGTATGTCCAGAAGCATCTAATGTCTGCCTACATCATCACTGTATGTCCAGAAGCCTCTACTGTCTGCCTACATCATCACTGTATGTCCAGAAGCCTCTACTGTCTGCCTACATCATCACTGTATGTCCAGAAGCCATCTACTGTCTGCCTACATCATCACTGTATGTCCAGAAGCCTCTACTGTCTGCCTACATCATCACTGTATGTCCAGAAGCCTCTACTGTCTGCCTACATCATCACTGTATGTCCAGAAGCCTCTACTGTCTGCCTACATCATCACTGCATGTCCAGAAGCCTCTGCTGTCTGCCTGCATCATCACTGTATGTCCAGAAGCCTCTGCTGTCTGCCTACATCATCACTGTATGTCCAGAAGCCTCTGCTGTCTGCCTATGTCATCACTGTATGTCCAGAAGCCTCTACTGTCTGCCTACATCATCACTGTATGTCCAGAAGCCTCTACTGCCTGTCTATGTCATCGCTGTTTGTCCAGAAGCATCTACTGACTGCCTACATCATCACTGTTTGTCCAGAAGCCTCTACTGTCTGCCTGCATCATCACTGTATGTCCAGAAGCCTCTACTCTCTGCCTACATCATCACTGTATGTCCAGAAGCCTCTACAGTCTGTCTACATCATCACTGTATGTCCAGAAGCATGTACTGTCTGTCTACATCATCACTGTATGTCCAGAAGCATGTACTGTCTGTCTACATCATCACTGTATGTCCAGAAGCCTCTACTGTCTGCCTACATCATCACTGTATGTCCAGAAGCATCTACTGTCTGTCTACATCATCACTGTATGTCCAGAAGCATGTACTGTCTGCCTACATCATCACTGTATGTCCAGAAGCCTCTACTGTCTGCCTACATCATCACTGTATGTCCAGAAGCATCTACTGTCTGTCTACATCATCACTGTATGTCCAGAAGCATGTACTGTCTGCCTACATCATCACTGTATGTCCAGAAGCCTCTACTGTCTGCCTACATCATCACTGTATGTCCAGAAGCATCTACTGTCTGTCTACATCATCACTGTATGTCCAGAAGCATGTACTGTCTGCCTACATCATCACTGTATGTCCAGAAGCATGTACTGTCTGTCTACATCATCACTGTATGTCCAGAAGCATGTACTGTCTGCCTACATCATCGGCGTACAGCAGTAGCAGCAATCTTGCGATACAACAAAATATTCCGTAAATGGTAATCTGAAAATAGTATCAAAGACAAACATTCACTCTACATATGTCCTGTAGTGATGGTTGTATTGATGAAGAAACACGTGACAACACCCTCACTTACTCATGTAGATTGTAGTGATGGTTGTATTGATGAAGAAACACGTGACAACACCCTCACTTACTCATGTAGACTGTAGTGATGGTTGTATTGATGAAGAAACACGTGACAACACCCTCACTTACTCATGTAGACTGTAGTGATGGTTGTATTGATGAAGAAACACGTGACAACACCCTCACTTACTCATGTAGACTGTAGTGATGGTTGTATTGATGAAGAAACACGTGACAACACCCTCACTTACTCATGTAGACTGTAGTGATGGTTGTATTGATGAAGAAAGACAACTTACTCGTGACAACACCCTCACTTACTCATGTAGACTGTAGTGATGGTTGTATTGATGAAGAAACACGTGACAACACCCTCACTTACTCATGTAGATTGTAGTGATGGTTGTATTGATGAAGAAACACGTGACAACACCCTCACTTACTCATGTAGATTGTAGTGATGGTTGTATTGATGAAGAAACACGTGACAACACCCTCACTTACTCATGTAGATTGTAGTGATGGTTGTATTGATGAAGAAACACGTGACAACACCCTCACTTACTCATGTAGACTGTAGTGATGGTTGTATTGATGAAGAAACACGTGACAACACCCTCACTTACTCATGTAGACTGTAGTGATGGTTGTATTGATGAAGAAACACGTGACAACACCCTCACTTACTCATGTAGACTGTAGTGATGGTTGTATTGATGAAGAAACACGTGACAACCCCCTCACTTACTCATGTAGACTGTAGTGATGGTTGTATTGATGAAGAAACACTGACAACCCCTCACTTACTCATGTAGACCTGTAGTGATGGTTGTATTGATGAAGAAACACGCGACAACACCCTCACTTACTGGGCGTAGATTGTAGTGATGGTTGTATTGATGAAGAAACTTGACAACACCCTCACTTACTCATGTAGATTGTAGTGATGGTTGTATTGATGAAGAACACGTGACAACACCCTCGCTTACTCATGTAGATTGTAGTGATGGTTGTATTGATGAAGAAACACGTGACAACACCCCTCACTTACTCATGCAGATTGTAGTGATGGTTGTATTGATGAAGAAACACGTGACAACACCCTCACTTACTCATGTAGACTGTAGTGATGGTTGTATTGATGAAGAAACACGTGACAACCCCTCACTTACTCATGTAGACTGTAGTGATGGTTGTATTGATGAAGAAACACTGTGACAACACCCTCACTTACTCATGTAGAGGGTGTAGTGATGGTTGTATTGATGAAGAAACACGTGACAACACCCTCACTTACTCATGTAGACTGTAGTGATGGTTGTATTGATGAAGAAACACGTGACAACACCCTCACTTACTCATGTAGACTGTAGTGATGGTTGTATTGATGAAGAAACACGTGACAACACCCTCACTTACTCATGTAGACTGTAGTCATGGTTGTATTGATGAAGAAACACGTGACAACACCCTCACTTACTCATGTAGACTGTAGTGATGGTTGTATTGATGAAGAAACACGTGACAACACCCTCACTTACTCATGTAGACTGTAGTGATGGTTGTATTGATGAAGAAACACACCTGACCATGTTGAAAGGCCGTAGAACGGGTCGACCAAATTGATATGTAGTTAAAATATAGTCGCTCTGAAACAGTCTGGGTGATTCAACCACCAGCTGACTGCACACGAACTCCTCAGAGACAAGCAGCACTGACCAAGTTCGTATAGGCACCTTCATACTGCACCAGGAACAGGCTAAAGGCAGGATGATAGGGACAATGCTGCTGACAAATCTGAACAATAAATGTTAACATGAATGTTAAAATGCACAAATGAAAAATGAATTCAATCATCGGGGAATTCCTAAAATGATGACTGAAGACTGCCAGTGGAAAACATGCACGTAAGAGGGACGTCCACACAGCCACTATCATGTAGTTGTAGCTTGCAAGCCTCAGCACCAGTGGTTGTGTATACCTCCATACTATCCACTTTCATCTACTTTTATAAAACTAGCACACTTGGACACTTGGAAATAATTGCTTGCTGACTTATTCCTCCAATAAGGAATGACAATGGGTTTAGACAGCTTTCTTATTGCTCTTCATCAAGCAAAGGTTCAGGGTGATTATATTTCGTTGTTTCGGTGGACTAGTTGTTTGTTTGTCATCCAGACCATGGGTCATCCAGACCATGGCTCCTGCACATGTTCAGCAACTGATCAACTCGTACGTCTCGGGGTGTTTGTGGAATATGCCAAGAGGCTATACTAACATGCGCAACACGTACTCCACAACACATACGATAATGTGCACTTGAGGCCCTCGACCACGTGAAGAGGGATCTGAGCGGTAGTAGGCTGTCACGTGATTTGCGACAAGTACACAGCCACTGACCACACGACAAACATGAGCGACACTGACAGCCGCGAAATCTAACGTCAATGGGAAGCAGCATATTTCCTCCATTCTCATATCTGAGCTTCTTTGAAAATCCACCAGCGACTAAACGAGTCCATCGCGTTCTGTGCAGGTGGAAGTAAGCTGGACACCTCTAGTCCTAGAATCTTACACATCACCTGCCAACTATGCCTCGATTCCGAACATGACCACCTACACTGGTAGACCCCTGCCCCGACAGCAGGGGGTAGTCGGCCAAGCTGACTGACGCCAGTGCTCTCATGCAGAGCATTCACCTTTGTAAATGTATTTCCCACCATAAGTGCTACAACCGAGTAGTCCTCATCTCCTCCGATCTCATGAACTCTGCATACGTTGGCGGCGGTTCGAGAGTAGATATGTCACTTCCGTTGCAGCTGCTATCCTCCACCTGGTGGCCTAGGTTCGTCTGTGCCTGGCAATGACGAGCTAAATACTCGTCGCTGGTGACGATGTCGTATGGCGGTGGCTCATCACTGTACAGACGCGTTCTGAAATATATAATAGAAAGTGTCATCAAGGAATATAAGTACATCGTCCTCAACAAGACTATTGTAAGATCCTCCTGTCAAAGTGCGATGGCTAGCCACAACATCACATTAACTGGATATAGACGAAAATTTCTTAGCATAAACGCGATCAGGATCTAGACTAAACATGACTTAGAAAATCACTTAGAGGGCATATACTAAACACGCCCCAGGTGCAGACTAAACACTGAATGGGTTCAGACAAAACACTCCCCAGGTCCAGATTAAACACTGAATGGGTTCAGACTAAACACTCCCCAGGTCCAGACTAAACATTGCCTGGGTCCAGACTAAACATTGCCGGGGTCTTGACTAAACACTGCCTGAGTCCAGGCTAAACATTGCCGGGGTCCAGACTAAACATTGCCGGGGTCCAGACTAAACATTGCCGGGGTCTTGACTAAACACTGCCTGAGTCCAGACTAAACAGTGCCTGGGTCCAGACTAAACACTGCCTGGGTCCAGACTAAACATTGCCGGGGTCTTGACTAAACACTGCCTGGGTCCAGACTAAACATTGCCGGGGTCCAGACTAAACATTGCCGGGGTCCAGACTAAACATTGCCGGGGTCTTGACTAAACACTGCCTGAGTCCAGACTAAACAGGGCCTGGGTCCAGACTAAACACTGCCTGGGTCCAGACTAAACATTGCCGGGGTCTTGACTAAACACTGCCTGAGTCCAGACTAAACAGGGCCTGGGTCCAGACTAAACACTGCCTGGGTCCAGACTAAACATTGCCGGGGTCCAGACTAAACACTGCCTGGGTCCAGACTAAACATTGCCGGGGTCCAGACTAAACATTGCCTGGGTCCAGACTAAACATTGCCTGGGTTTTGACTAAACACTGCCTGAGTCCAGGCTAAGCATTGCCGGATCCAGACTAAACACTACCTGGGTCCAGACTCAACATTGCCTGGAACTAGACTAGACATTGAATGGGTTCAGGCTGAATGCGAATATTGCTTGGGTCCAGACAAAACACTGCCTGGGTCCAGATTAAACCTTGCCTTGATCCAGACTTAACACTGCCTGGGTCCAGACTAAACCTTGCCTTGATCCAGACTTAACACTGCCGGGGTCCAGACTAAACACTGCATGTGATAGTGCACCGGTCATATGTCCCTCAAGGAGAGTTGTTTGTGTCTGTCCTTCAAGACAAACGACATATATTTGAAAAACATAACATCCAACAACGAACACACTCAACACATAACACTATTCTTTGTCCATGACTATCCCCACCCAACCGCGAACATACTTCACAGATAGCACTATACCCTGTCCACGACTATCCACACCAAACCGCGAACATACTTCACATATAGCACTATACCCTGTCCACCAACATCCCCACCCAACCGCGAACATACTTCACAGATAGCACTATACCCTTGTCCACGACTATCCACACCCAACCGCGAACATACTTCACATATAGCACTATACCCTGTCCACCAACATCCCGACCCAACCGCGAACATACTTCACAGATAGCACTATACCCTTGTCCACGACTATCCCCACCCAACAGCGAACATACTTCACAGATAGCACTAAACCCTTGTCCACGACTATCCCCAACCAACCGCGAACATACTTCATAGATAGCACTATACCCTTGTCCACCAACATCCACACCCAACCGCGAACATACTTCACATATAGCACTATACCCTGTCCACGCCTATCCCCACCCAACCGCGAACATACTTCACAGATAGCACGAAATAAAGCAAGTCTTGATTTCCTCAGGTTCTGAATCTCTGGTCTCACTGGGGCTCCTTTTCAAATTAAATGGACTTGTTTGTTACTATTAAAATTATATATATTCAGACTAAGCGTTAGTCTACATCGACGTCTGCACCTACAGTGGAGTAGACAGTACTGGAGGGAGTAAGGGGAGAAGCGGTCTTGTCACCGTGTGTACTAGGAAAGGCTCGTGTTGGAGGTGGGGTCGTTATGATCCTTGGTGGGATATCAGCTGCAGCAAGGACGACAATGATATTGAACATTTGAATGCTGTGAGGTACCGAGATGAGATTTTGCAGTTGGTCGTTGTTTGAGTTGTACGGAATTATCTTAATCCGAGCAATGTCAGTGTGCTGACCTGGCCCGAAGATACCCTGTTTCGTCACAAACTGAACACGTCTCGGATGATCCTGGGCGACGTTTACGATGTCATCCGAATCCTCCATCATCGCTGCAGGAACTCCGCCAGATTCTTCCTCGGATAGGGAATGATGTTTTATCACCATTTAGTGGCCCCAGTGAATCGAGGGTCATTTCATTAATGTAAATAAATGTTACTATGCCGTTATATAACGCAAAATCACAGCCTATATCCCTGTGTAATGAGGTTCGATCCAATTATCGAACCAGAATATAGATGGATTGCCACTGTCGTTTTCGATAATATCAATCGATTAATGCATTTTCCAGTCATCACTGAATTTTCATGTTCAGTCATCAATCCCCTAAAGTGTTTTCGTATTCTGCAATAAGGGGTAACATCGTCGCCATAGCTTCTACTGAATGTGGATATGCTGGCAGATCGTGGTTGGATGTAGATAACGGTGGACAAGGTGTTGTGAGTTCATGGTTGGGTGTGGATATGGTCGACGAGGTGTTGTGAGTTCATGGTTGGGTGTGGATATGGTGGACCAGGTGTTGTGAAGTTGTGGTTGTGTGTGGATATGGTGGATGAGGTGTTGTGAGTTCATGGTTGTGTGTGGATATGGTGGATGAGGTGTTGTGAGTTCATGGTTGTGTGTGAATATGGTGGATGAGGTGTTGTGAGTTCATGGTTGGGTGTGGATATGGTGGATGAGGTGTTGTGAGTTCATGGTTGGGTGTGGATATGGTGGATGAGGTGTTGTGAGTTCATGGTTGGGTGTGGATATGGTGGACGAGGTGTTGTGAGTTCATGGTTGGGTGTGGATACCGGTGGACCAGGTGTTGTGAAGTTGTGTTTGTGTGTGAATATGGTGGACCAGGTGTTGTGAGTCATGGTTCATGGATTGGTGGACGAGGTGTGTGAATATGGTGGATGGTGGACGAGGTGTTGTGAAGTTGTGGTTGTGTGTGAATATGGTGGACCAGGTGTTGTGAGTTCATGGTTGGGTGTGGATATGGTGGATGAGGTGTTGTGAGTTCATGGTTGGGTGTGGATATGGTGGATGAGGTGTTGTGAGTTCATGGTTGGGTGTGGATATGGTGGATGAGGTGTTGTGAGTTCATGGTTGGTGTGTGAATATGGTGGACGAGGTGTTGTGAAGTTGTGGTTGTGTGTGAATATGGTGGACGAGGTGTGGTGAGTTCATGGTTGGGTGAGGATATGGTGGATGAGGTGTGGTGAGTTCATGGTTGTGTGTGAATATGGTGGACGACGTGTTGTGAAGTTGTGGTTGTGTGTGAATATGGTGGACGAGGTGTGGTGAGTTCATGGTTGGGTGTGGATATGGTGGATGAGGTGTTGTGAGTTCATGGTTGGGTGTGGATATGGTGGATGAGGTGTTGTGAGTTCATGGTTGGAAGTGTGGATATAGTGGTGGATGAGGTGTTGTGAGTTCATGGTTGGGTGTGGATATGGTGGATGAGGTGTTGTGAGTTCGTGGTTGGATGTGGATATGGTGGATGAGGTGTTGTGAGTTCATGGTTGGGTGTGGATATGGTGGACGAGGTGTTGTGAGTTCATGGTTGGGTGTGGATATGGTTGTGTGTGGATATGGTGGATGAGGTGTTGTGAGTTCATGGTTGGGGTGTGGATATAGTGGATGAGGTGTTGTGAGTTCATGGTTGGGTGTGGATATGGTGGATGAGGTGTTGTGAAGTTGTGGTTGTGTGTGAATATGGTGGACGAGGTGTTGTGAGTTCATGGTTGGGTGTGGATATGGTGGATGAGGTGTTGTGAGTTCATGGTTGGGTGTGGATATGGTGGATGAGGTGTTGTGAGTTCATGGTTGGGTGTGGATATGGTGGATGAGGTGTTGTGAGTTCATGGTTGGGTGTGGATATGGTGGATGAGGTGTTGTGAGTTCATGGTTGGGTGTGGATATGGTGGATGAGGTGTTGTGAGTTCATGGTTGGGTGTGGATATGGTGGATGAGGTGTTGTGAGTTCATGGTTGAATATGGTGGATGGGTGGATGTGAAAGTGTTTGTGAGTTCGTGGTTGGGTGTGGATATTAAGGGAGTGTGAGGTGGATGAGGTGTTGTGAAGTTATGTTTGTGTGTGAATATGGTGGACCAGGTGTGGTGAGTTCATGGTTGTGTGTGAATATGGTGGACGACGTGTTGTGAAGTTGTGGTTGTGTGTGAATATGGTGGACCAGGTGTGGTGAGTTCATGGTTGGGTGTGGATATGGTGGACCAGGTGTTGTGAAGTTGTGGTTGTGTGTGAATATGGTGGATGAGGTGTTGTGAGTTCATGGTTGGGTGTGGATACCAGTGGACCAGGTGTGTGCATTGGGTGGAAGTTGTGGTTGTGTGTGGATATGGTGGATGAGGTGTTGTGAGTTCATGGTTGGGTGTGGATATGGTGGATGAGGTGTTGTGAGTTCATGGTTGGATGTGAATATGGTGGACGAGGTGTTGTGAGTTCATGGTTGGGTGTGGATATGGTGGATGAGGTGTTGTGAGTTCATGGTTGGGTGTGGATATGGTGGATGAGGTGTTGTGAGTTCATGGTTGGGTGTGGATATGGTGGATGAGGTGTTGTGAGTTCATGGTTGGGTGTGGATACCGGTGGACCAGGTGTTGTGAAGTTGTGTTTGTGTGTGAATATGGTGGACCAGGTGTGGTGAGTTCATGGTTTTGTGTGAATATGGTGGACGACGTGTTGTGAAGTTGTGGTTGTGTGTGAATATGGTGGACGAGGTGTGGTGAGTTCATGGTTGGGTGTGGATATGGTGGATGAGGTGTGGTGAGTTCATGGTTGTGTGTGAATATGGTGGACGACGT